CCCTGCCATCTGTTTGCCATTCTCAATTGATGGGGAGGGGGGGGGTTGGCGGCGCGGGCGGCGTATTGTGGAACCTGGCCTTGGGGCGGCAGGGGGAGAGAATCCGGCCCTGACTACGACTGTGTTATATCCCCTTTGTTAACTGTGATGTATTGTGCTAACATTAGTGAACTGCAGTGTGGTAGACTACATGTTTTTATGTGTGTTCACAGTGCATAGACCCAACAGTCCTTTCTTGGACTACATTTTTGTGTTAGCAATAACTTCAGTTGCTGTTTAGCTTCTGCCACCCCTTGCATTTTTTAAAAAATGGTTGGGATTTGGGGTTTTTAGGTTTTAATTTTTTGAGTGATGTGTATTTTATTTTAATATAAATTTGCTGGGCTATTTTTCTTTTTCGGGGTCAGCACCGTGAACCAAATCACCATTGTTAAGTGCACCAAATCACCACATCCTAAATTCCCATATTGCCATAGTTGCTAATAAGGTTAGACAATCCCCTGCATTCATAATGTCAAGGAAACCTAAAGTAAGAGGCAGAGGTATGGCACATGCAGTGAGTAAGAGGTGAGCAGGTTCTGCATCTGCAAATGAGAAATTGCGCCTAAACCATAGGATTTACTCCTAGTGAGAATCCCACGAACTATTGGCAATGCAGGCTGACCACTAGCCAAAACCTGCACAGTATTTTCTAATTAAAGTAGTACTAAAGGCTGGTTATTATGTACCTCGGTGCATTCTCTGCATTAAGGTAAAAAAAAGCCCAGTACCTTTTTGAGTCCCTGTCCCCCCACACTTACCTGTGAACACCGCTGTCACCGCCACCGATCTCTTAAGCGATCCTCCTAGGATAGCATAGGCTCCTTCTGCTGTCAGTCAAACTGGAGGAGGAGAGGGGCGTGGCCTGCCGCACGGTGTGTGTGTCTATGGACGCACACAGCTACTTGAGGGCATGGCAGGGAACGTGCACACATGGGTGCTTCCACAGCAGGAGGAGGAGTGTAGGGGGCAGGAGGGAAAGTGAACGAAGAAATTAAACATAAAAAAAAAAAAGAAAAGAACCAAGGATCTGCATCCCAACCTACAGGTTTAATATCACTTTAATACAATCTGCCTGGTCTCACCCTCTGAAACTGTAGTCTAGTAAAACAGCTTACTTGTGTCACAGAAATTTTTTCTCCACATTATTTTTCAAATAGTGGGCCAATTCACTAAGATGAATTGCCAGGGAACTGGTGGGAGAATTTCAAAATCTAGACCAATATAGGCAATTTGGAAAGTGAGCTAAATGGCAGAATGCATGGCAGACCTCAGACCAGAACCAATACATGGCACACTTCCGACCAGAAAAGAAACATGGCAGAACTCAGGCCGGAACCAATACACGGCAGACTTCAGACCAGATCCAATACATGGCAGAACTCAGATTAGAACCCGTACAAAACAGACCTTAGACCAGAACCAATACACTGCAGACCTCAGTCCAGAACCAATACAAGGCAGACCTCAGGCCAGAACAATACACGGCAGACTTCAGACCAGAACCAATACACAGCAGACTGGGCAGAATGACACATACACAGCGACATCTCTGGGATCAGCCATCACACACAGTCTGATCCCTGTGGGATGTCACCCGCATAC